AGACCAGGTGGGTTGAGATCTTTCGAGAAATAGTACTTTCAACGTTTCTGTCCGGAACCCGTTTTTTTGTTTAGGACTGGCTCAATTCTTTCGTCAGAGAAAAAATGAAGGAGCGTTGCGCATATCCGCTGAGGGAGGTGAGCAGCTTTCGGTATCTTTCACCCCCTGCCGTCTATTGGCTTCGGAAAAGAAGTGACATTTCTGCATAAGATAGAAGGGACGAAGAAGCTTTTTCCGACAACCCGCCTCATCCACGATTCCGAGAAGTCCTTAGTCATTCTTTTGATGATCTTAGCATTGAGACCGACTCACGAATGAACTATTTTTGGCTCTATCTTTGAGAACACATGTCTTTCTCCCTTGGCTTCGTTTATTACAGATCCTGCTACTCTATATCGCTTTGTGACCTTTTGTACGGTCCTTATTGGAATAACAAGCGATTTGACGAGGCCCTCTCTCCTTTTGCATGCAAATGATGGCAAATCACTCTGAGTGAGCTTTCACCATCATAGCGACATCAGGAGTCCTATCTCACTATTCACTCAGATTGTAAGAAAAAATACATGCGCAACTAAGTGAGCGAATTGAAACTGAATTATTTTTGCGTAGTTTGCTTGTTTTAGATTTCAAAGATTTCTCAGTTCCCATTCTGAAAGATTTCCTAAGTGAATAGAATTTTAAGAAACCCTGTAAAGTGCAGCGCGCAATTCAGCAGTAAAATACGCAATAAAGTTGAAGAGCGCGGAGGGGCTAGGAAACATCAGCCGCCTTTTGGGTTCGCGCGAAGAATTCACTTATAAATAATCAAGAAGATCTGTAAGGAAGGCGCGAAATCGAGGTAAAGATAGGGAGCAAGACTACGAAATATTCGTGCGCGAGANNGGAAACTTTCGGACACACACTCTTAACCTCGTCCCCAGAAGAGAGACCGCAACTTTAACATCTTAGCGCCCTTAGAAACAGGGCCAACTCGTAAGATCTCCTCTGTTGTAAGTGTATCTTAACCCGCTGTATTGTACTACATTACTGTTCTCATGGTGAAGATCTCTTGCCTTAATTGTACTATGTGTGCTTTAGGAATTAAGTTGTTGTGCCTTACAGATCAAGGGTTTTATCTTGATGTTTTGTTAACTGCTTTTATTTCGCTGTGGTATGCGATGCGAAAGTCTCACAAGGTTGGCGAGTAATGGATAAACTTCGGCCTCGAACGAAACTCGTACGCGCGCTTGGCACCGTGCACTTCTCCGTTACACAATCGAGATCCCGTTTGCCCTCACCTTCTTAATGACTTATATGCCACGGCTTATCAACACTCACACGTACAACGTTACAACGTGATGTCGGCCAGTACCAGCACTGAGTTAACGGATAAGGGATGGAAGCACGGTGCCCGAATAGTTCGAGTTCGAGTGCCGTCCGAAGCCGAAGTTTTGTCCATAATTCGCTAACCTTAGGTGGTCAAGAATAGTGTTTTTCTATACCACAGAACTCTACATCTTTTACACAACACTGTTCAATGGCATGCATTACGAATCCTCATTAAATTCGTGGATGTAGTTAAACCCCAGAAAGTTCTATAGGTTGCTACATAAAGTCCTTGAGCGACAGCTCTCCCAGCCGGTAAGTGTGAGATAAGTACATGCACGAAATTGTTTTTAAGTTTTCAACATATCACTTGAAAAGTCTGCAAACACTGAAAGCTCAGGGAGTTTCTTAATAAACGAACACAAACATTTGAACCTCTAGAGGAGGAGAGAAAGATTACCCTGAAATATAGGCTCATAAGCTATTGTTCTATCTAAAAACCCCGGACGGCACAAGAATGGCGGCAGTACAAGTTGGTCTGTGAATTTAGAATAGACTCGTACTAACATTTCACAGCAATTAGTTTTTTTGTTTGACACTTTCAATCCAGCATCACCGAACTGATGTTTAAGCGCGACCCCTTCTTCACGACTTCATAACCTAATACGTTTTCCGCCTCACCAGATCTGTGATGTGAGCTGTTTCACTTCTTCAGGAGTCCCATCTGGCATCGAGGGCATGTTGCATTTGCGAATCATGGTGGCGATTTTCTTCGGCGGATCGTCTGGCCAAGGTTTGATCCCACAGTTGAAAATCTGAATAGTTGGAAAAACTGAAGACTTGAGTTGAATGTTGATAGAGCTTTAAGCACTATCGTTCAGTTACATGTTTTGGGATCCAGAATATGCGGACAGGGGCAGTGATGGGCAGTAGGCCGCGATGGAAAGTGACCACCGCGCTGCCGTAGAGGTTCACGAAAAGTCTGCACTAGCGTCCCAAAAATTATCCCTAATCATTGTCACAATGTGACACAAGACGAACCTCATATATCATAACGGCAAAAGACCACACATCCGTCTTAGTGCTAAACTTCATTGGCCGTTTGAGCGATTCTGGGGCCATCCATCTTAAAGAAAGCTGTGAAGGCAACAGACCTTGGAAATTCAGTTGATTTCAGTCGATATGATCCTTTTTAGAATGTTAGTTTTAATAAAACTCGAAAATTATTCCCTGCTAGGGTTTTGCCAACCTTAAAGGTATTTGAGGGCTTGGCTCATCCTTATCTGGTTCTTCTTTGTCATGTTTCTCTAAGTCGTTGACGAGCTTAGATAAGCCGAAATCTGCGATCTTCATGCTTCCTGGATAAATCACGAAAATTCACGTGCTCTGACGCTTTTTGTAGATGTGTCCTTTTAATGAAAAAAAAGTACAGCACTCCCTTACCACCAGCTGAGCGTCGATTAGAGGGAAAAAGAGAGTGAAGAGCCAGAAAGAATCAATTCTGGCGCTGGTGTAGTGTTCGAAGACATTACTGACTGACTTATGCACAATCTATTACAGGTTCCATCTTTACCGAGGCGGCAGTCATGGGAAATTGTTTCGGGAACAGCGCCAAGATAGTGTCGACGAGCTGACCAATGGATGAAACTGTCGCAAACTTCAGGTTCTGCTGCTATGCATTACGCAAGAATTGCGGCGGTATGGGAAGTGTCACACGAAGAGCCAGCGGATATCTCACAAGCTGGATGGCGTGGAGAAAGCGGTCGTGAAAGAGTCGGAAAATGAGCAGTGGTGGAGAGTTACTGAGTATTTGAGCAACAATGACCATGCACAATTTACTTAGGGGCAATTTTGGTTAAAAGCAAAATTCACGACAATTTCAAAGAGAGTGGCGAAGGCAGCAACAACACCAGACTGCAAAATAGTAGTGCTTATCACAAAATTCTGGTCGAAATTTTGGAAGACTTCAAGAATTGTTAGAAGGGGTAGCACAGAACACTTCTGAGTGCATCACCTTCAGCTCGTTCAGCTGTATATGACGAATCTTATGAACGACGTCTTATCCTGATCGGGAGGAAGAGAATCGAACTTTTGCGAAGATGGGTTGGGAGAGCTAGTTGAATTAAGTGGCGCCAAGCAGTGAGAAAAGGCATCAGAAGGTTACGAGTAGAATTAGGTGTTTGATCTGCGCTCTGAACTCTGTAATCACGGAGAATGTTCCCAAAATGTGGCTGTGACTGGACGGGGGGACGCATCCACCCGATTCCGGATGGACGCGACAGGCTTCGCGAAGTTCATGACGATTCAAACTACTTTGGTACCTATCATTTGGTGTACAAGTTCAAAGTAGGCTAGATAAGTAGCTCAGCTGACCCTACTTATCCCATTTACTCAAAACCTATGCCCCAGTGTTAGGCGTCAGAGTCGTTTAAATCACGAGCAGGGCACGAGTTCCGTCGCGCGTTCTGCCGCGTCAGTTCAGAATTGGCTGAATGAACCCATGGCCTGACGGGACATTACCTTTAATTTTATTTTTTTAACCGAGGTAGATTGCATAGTTCTCATCCACTGAAAAAGGGCGGAGTTTAATTCATTCAAGGTGGG